ATGTTAAGGCAAATCCGTAACAGGAAACCAAACCTGTTGAATTTGGACAGAATCTTCACCATGTCTCATCAATCGAGCATGTACGTCATCCGAGGTTTGGATTGGTGGGTTTTGAACTTTATTTAGCAGCGTGGTGAAAATATGTAAGATAATGAGTTAAAAGGGTTAGTCAAATTATGGTTGTGCGCCCATAAACGTGAACACGACCGCATGGGCTTACTCGAACGTTGTAGCTTTAAGAACGGAGCAGTGTTGGGATTGGTCGGGTGTGAGTGTACCTCCGTCTCCCAACCAGAAGCTGGGATGTGACGGGAGATCCAGACTGCCCCCTTTCCCTTCCCATCCACCATTGCATACGGACAGATACACAGTAAAATGGAGAGCGAGCTGCGGATCATTGCGGCGGATTTTGACAATGCTGCTGATCGTGTTTGCAGAAGAAATATGAAGTTTTATCCGAACTAAACTCAGGGATTTTCAAACGCACAGGTATTTTACTCTACGGTTCAGCTCTCCTCGTTAAAGAAAATGGTTTATAAATAACAGTTCCAAGGGATTATTGAACGGTGTGGGTCCTGCTGAAGCAAGGGAAATGCTTTGTGCTGGAAATGGGATTTTATACAAAAAATCGGCCGTTAAAACGGCAACTGTTGTTCTTTGTGACATTCTGCTGGTGTGTAGTTTATGGGCAAATTCGTTATTCGATCCCAGAAGAGCTGCAACTGAGCGCTTTTGTTGGGAATATCGCGGACGATTTGGGTTTAGACGTGAAACAGTTGGCGACGCGCAGTTTCCGTCTTGTGTCTGGTCCCAGGAAGCAATATTTGGACGTGAGTTTGGAGAACGGGATTCTGTTTGTGAAAGAAAAGATTGACAGAGAAGAGCTTTGTGGACCCAGCCTGACTTGCGTGTTGTCTTTCGAGGTCGTCCTTGCCAACCCTCTGAATCTGTACCAGGTTGAAGTGGAGATTATGGATGTAAATGACAACGCACCCAGCTTTCCAAAGAGCCAGTTCCGCCTTGAAATCTCAGAGGTGGCGGCACAAGGAGCTCGCTTCCCCCTCGAGTGTGCCCACGACCCGGACGTAGGAACAAATTCCTTGCAAACCTACCGACTGGTTGCAAACGAATATTTCAAATTAAATGTCGAAACCCGCCGAGGGGATGAAAGGTTGCCAGTGCTCGTGTTGGATAAGCCCTTGGATAGAGAGAAACAATCGAGTCACAGGTTAGTGCTGATTGCGAAAGATGGTGGGGTGCCTGAAAGATCTGGCACAGCTCAGATAATTATCAATGTGGAGGATGCAAACGACAACATTCCTGTTTTCTCCCAGTCAGTGTATAGGGCCAGTCTGCCGGAAAACGTACCCAAGGGAACCCTTGTAATAAGACTAAACGCCACTGATTTGGATGATGGGTCTAACGGTGAAATATTATATTCATTTAGTAGTCACACGTCTCCAAGAGTGAGCGAAGTGTTTGAGCTGAATTCAAGAACTGGTGAAATTAGAGTGAAAAGAAACTTGGATTATGAAGAAAATAGTGTATTAGAGATCAATGTGCAAGCAAGGGATAGGGGATCTCATGGAACTGCAGTGTACTGTGATGTGCTGGTGGATATTATTGATGTAAACGATAACGCACCTGAGGTGGAACTAACATCTTTATCCAGTCCAGTTAGTGAAGATTCTCTGCCCGGGACTGTGGTGGCTCTTATCAGTGCAACAGACAAGGATTCCGGAGAAAACGGCCAGATACAGTGTCAGATTCCCCATAACCTCCCATTTGCATTGGATTCAACCTCAAACAAATATTTCAGATTGCTTACCCAGGGCCTTTTGGACCGTGAAAACATTTCCTCCTACGACATTACAGTGATGTGCAGCGACAGAGGAACCCCCCCTCTCACATCCAACAAAACCATTCGCCTGGAGGTTTCAGATATCAACGACAACGCGCCACGCTTTCCTCAGCCTTTATACAGAGCACACGTTATGGAGAACAACGTTATCGGTACCTCTCTATTCACAGCCAAGGCTTATGATCCGGATTTCAGCCAGAATGCTCGAATCTCCTACTCTATTTTGGACAGCCGCGTTCAGGGTGAGCCAGTGTCCACTTACGTCCATATTAATTCAGAGAATGGCATCATAACGTCGCAGAGATCATTCGATTACGAGGAACTCAAGACCTTTCAGATCCAAGTTCAAGCAAAGGACAACGGAATCCCTCAACTCCAGAGCAACATCTCTGTGGATATAATTGTCCGTGATCAAAACGACAACGCCCCAGTGATCGTTCATCCAATACCCGATCAGGGATCGATAGTGACGGAGAGTGTGTCGCAGTTGGCAGAGCCAGGCTGCCTTGTGGCCAAGGTGTCGGCCACCGATGCGGATACGGGTCAAAATGGGCGTCTTTCTTACCATATTCTCCTCGCTACCGACCCTGGACTTTTCACAATATCACCCGATACAGGAGAAATCTGGACAATCCGTGGGATTGGGGACAGAGACGCCAATAAGCAAAGGTTGGTCATTGCGGCAAAGGACAATGGAACGCCTTCGCTTTCAGCGACAGTGACCATCGTCTTATCAGTAATTCGTGGCAATGCGGAAATGCTCTCTGATGTGAGTGACTTGCCGAGAGATCCCGGGTTCGCGTCTGACTTAAGCTTTTACTTGGTGATTTCTCTGGCCACAATCTCTTCCGTGTTTCTTGTGATTTTAGTCGTCCTGGCTGTGAAGGTGCACAGAGACAGAAACGTATTTAGTGACCATTACTGCTGCTGCTTTGAAACGAGACATTCGCTCAATGGGATCCAGAAAGCCAGCAGAAACGTGCAGATACCCCCGAACTATGTCGAAGTGTTTGGAGGTGACCCTCTTTCCCAAAGTTTCCGATATGGATCGTATTCAACTTCGGGTTCTAGCAAAGGAGAGGTCCTGCGTTCCAACATGGGCGGTTCATCCACATACAGGAATAACGCCAGAAGCGATGCTATTGGGAGAGAAGAAAATCCACGGACCACGTATTCTGCAGATTATAGGAACACTGTAAATAGTGAGGTGAGACGCGTCTGAAAACAAAAATCTAGTGTTTTTATAAAAATGGGAAATTGATACAGGATTTGCTTTAGCGTGTCGAGGTTGCTGGGGTTTTTGTAAGCCATTGCATTCAATTAACCTGCCCCTCGCCCAACTCTCCAAACCACTCAAGGATTCACCTGTTAACCTCTTCTTCCCCCACCACCCATCCCCCCCCCCCAATTCTTTCACTCAACAAATTATCGAAGCTACGAGGAGACGGATGATCCCTTGGGAGTAGGGATGCTCCCCCCCCCCCCCCACATGGAAGCCGACTGGCCACTGCGCATGTTGCCTCCTCCCCTGTTCGTCCAGCCTCCTTCCTTTGGAAAGTCATCTTTGCGCTTCCCAAATAGTGGGTCCTTGATTCCCCCCCCCCCCCAAACTCACCCAACCACCTCCAGAATCCAACAGGCACACTCTTTGTAATACCTTGTCTGACATATTTTGCCAATCCTGCATTTTAAACAGAGGGACTTTAGCTCCAGGGAGTGGTGAATTATTTGTTCTATTGTGGTCGATGGTAATTCAAGACGAGTGTGGCTTCGGCTGCCCATTAAAGCTCCCGTAGCTTGCCTGTACCTGTTAGGAATGTAAGTTACAGTATACGTAAATTTCCAGTTGATTTAGAAACAGAGGAAACTTAAAGATGATTGTAACCGAATGGATTTCTTGTGTGTTTTAATTACTTTATGATTCTGTGACTGACCAGCTTGTTCCAGGCAAATTATTTACCTGATCAAAAGGGGTTATATAGTAGAAATCACAAGTTTAAAACAACGTATCGAGTGAGATGCAGATTTAGGAAAACATACCTGAACATAATAGCAGTATATTTATAGATGACGTTTGCAGAAATACTACTGAAACAAATAGCATTGATATATAGGGACTCAGTAAGCAGTGTTTGTCTATCTAAGATTGTTCTATCCGATGGCGCTGAGGCCGTTTATAAGTCTGAAGATTTATTCATACGACAGACTGAGTGACCAAATATCAACGATGGCTGACTTTTTTCAAATGTGGTTTCTCAGAGCAGGGCAAAGGTCCTCTACTTGCCTCCTTTAAACATATCAGTTTATGCACTTCGCAAGTTGGAGAGATGAGGGGACCCACCGCAAAATCTAATGTAGCATTATCCAATCAAAGTGCAATGCTCAAACAACTCAGCTCTAATGCACCACAAAACAACCATTGTAACTCAGTGCAAGAGACAACTGCGAGGATTTGTGCATTTGTACAGTAAATGGATTGAGGAATACACCGACGAGGCGCCCGGTTGATATTTACATCAATGAAAACAGTAGCTTTGCTGGAACTATGGCCCTTTTGCATTTGCCTCACACACATGACTCCGAGAATATCTGCCTTTCACAATGTTTTTGAGAATTCTTGGGAACAAATATCCTGAAGGTGAAAGCTGAAGGCTGCTGATATTTTGAATGCACAACGGTACATGTAAAAAGAGTTGCCAGGAGGATTTATGGAGACATCCTTGCTTTAAGAAATGCTCTTCACGATGATTGGCCGACGGTGACTTTCCTGCTTTGACCATTGAGAAGCCGGGATGTGGCTGGAGATCCCGACTGCACCTCCTCACCATCACATACGAGCAGACACAGAGCAAAACGGGGACATTGAGCGGCGCAACCTAATGTTCGACTGTGTGTGTGTGTGCAATCACTGGCACAATAAGAAGATTCCTTAGGAAGTATTCCTATCGCTGTTCACCACGCACAGGTACCTATCTACAATTTAGCTGCTGTATCCACTCAGAGCGTAATAGTTAAATAGCATATTTCCCAGGAACGGGCGAACGGTGGTCGTGTGACGCCGACACATTGGGAATGATTTGTGCTGGAAATGGGATGCAACCGAGCAAATTGGCTGTTAAAATGGATACCATTGCGCTGTATGCTGTGCCTCTTGTGGCGTCCAGTTTCGGGAGAGATTCGTTATTCGATTCCCGAAGAGCTGCAGACGGGAGCCTTTGTTGGGAATATCGCGGGCGATCTGGGTTTGGATGTGAAAGAGCTGGCGGCTCGCGGGTTTAGGATCGTGTCGGGTCCCAGGAAGCAGTATTTGGACGTGAACTTAGAGAATGGGATTCTATTTGTAAAAGAAAAAATCGACAGGGAACAGCTCTGTGGGTCGAGCCTGACGTGTGTGCTGTCTTTCGAAGCAGTGATCGAGAACCCCCTCAATCTGTATCGTGTTGAAGTTGAAATACTGGATGTGAATGACAATGCTCCCGGTTTCTCAAAGAGCCAGATCCGCCTTGAGATCTCAGAGGGGGCTGCCCCGGGAACACGCTTCGCTCTGGAGTGCGCCCACGACCCAGACGTAGGAACCAACTCGCTGCAAACCTACCAGCTCGCCCCGAACGACCATTTTAGTTTGGTGGTGCAAACGCGCGGCTCGGATGGAAAGCTACCAGTGCTAGTGTTGGAAAAGCCGCTGGACAGAGAAAAGCAAACGGGTTACAGGTTAGAGCTAATTGCCAAGGATGGAGGTATTCCTGAAAGATCCGGTAAAGTTCAGATCATAATTACTGTACAGGACGCCAACGATAACGCACCTGTTTTCCAACAACCGCTTTACAGTGTCAATGTATTCGAAAATGCCTTTAAGGGGACACTGGTCCTTCAGCTGAACGCCACCGACTTGGATGATGGCGCTAACGGAGAGATAGTTTACTCATTCAGTAGCCACACGTCAGCTCGAGTGCGTGAACTCTTTTCCCTCAATGCCAAAACTGGTGAAATCAGAGTGAAAGGGGAGTTGGATTATGAAGGAAATAACGCTTTTGAGATCAATGTGCAAGCCATGGACAAGGGTCCAAACGCGATACCGGGCTACTGCGATGTGTTGGTGCAAGTAATTGATGTGAATGATAACGCGCCAGAGGTAACTCTGACCTCTTTCTACAGCCCGATAGGGGAAGATGCTTTGCCTGGGACTGTGGTCGCTTTGATCAGTGCAACAGACAAAGATTCCGGCGATTACGGACAGGTGCAATGTCAGATCGCCAACAACCTTCCTTTTCAACTCGTTTCCTCCTTGGAAAACTATTACAAGTTGCTGACACTGCACCCACTGAACCGCGAAAATATCTCCGACTACGACATTACAATTCTCTGCAGCGATGAAGGAAACCCACCGCTCACCTCCAGTAAAAACATTCGGGTGGAGGTGTCTGATGTCAACGACAACGCACCACGATTTTCGCAACCTGCCTATACTGCCCATGTGTCGGAAAATAACGCTATCGGTTCATCTATTTTCTCAGTGACTGCTTATGATCCAGATTCAAACCAGAACGCTCAACTAACCTACTCTATCCTGGAGAGTCGGGTTCAAGGACAGTCGGTGAGCGCTTTTGTCTGTATGAATTCGGGCACTGGAACCATCATGGCCCAAAGATCGTTTGATTACGAGCAACTCAAAAACTTTGAAATTCGGGTTCAGGCGCATGACAACGGAGTCCCAGCACTCTTCAGCAACGTGTCTGTGGATATAATTATCCTGGACCAGAATGACAACTCCCCAGTGATCGTGTCTCCACTACCAGAATATGGCTCAACAGTGACAGAGACTGTCTCGAGGTTGGCAGAGCCAGGCTACCTGGTGGCCAAGGTCTCAGCCATTGATGCTGACACTGGGCAGAATGGGCGTCTGTCTTACCAGATTTTCCAGGCGAGTGACCCGGGGCTTTTCACCATTTCCCCTGATACTGGAGAAATCTGGACCATCCGCAGTATCCAGGACAAGGACCTTAGGAACCAAAGGTTGGTCATTGTGGTTAAGGACAATGGAACCCCCTCACTTTCAGCCACGATGACCATCGTGTTATCAGTGGTGGGCAGCGATACGGAGATGGTCTCTGACAGTGAAGGCTTATTTGAACCGCGTGAATTCGCTTCACCTTTAAGCCTGTACTTGGTCATTGCTTTAGGATCAATCTCTTCCATTTTTCTAGTGGTTTTAATTATCCTCGCTGTTCAGGTTCACAGAAACAGAACTGGATTTGGTGCCTACAGTTGTCCTCTGGCTAACTGCTGTTGCTTTGAAACGAGACATTCTCTGAATGGGATTCAAAAAGCCAGCAGAAACCTTCAGATACCCCCGAACTACGTTGAAGTGTTTGGTGGCGATCCACTTTCCCAGAGTTTCCGTTATGGGTCGTGTTCAACTTCAGGCTCGAGCAAAGGAGACCTCCGATTTTCCAACATGGGCCATGCATCCACACACAGCAATGACTTCAGGAGGGAAGTTATTGGGTCAGATGGAAACCCACGTGCATCTGAAAATTATAGGAGCAATGAAAATGGTGAGGTGAGGCTCCTTTCTTTAGCAAAACCTTGAAGAATTTCCTTTGAATGTATAGATCACTATTTCAGAAAGCAACCAAGCACAGGCCACGACCGCTTCTTATCAGTGCCTTGTATAAAATAAATGTTTATACCCTGTAAAGCATCGTTTTTTGCTGCAAGATTGGTTCAAACCAAGTGATAATACTGAATGCTAACTCATTATAAACTGCCTTTGATATTGTAGTTATGAATTCATGTTTTGATCTGGAAACTATTAATGGAAATAAATATCTGATACTTATAACACCATTCAGCATCAACTGTTAAAAAGTGCCCAAAATTAAAATGCTTCTAAACAGAAAGTAATAAAGGAAATACGAAACGGCAAATCTGGTGCTCGATACGAATCATCACAGAGTATCGAGAGAGAAGTGGGAATAGCAGTAAAGGTTTTACGGAGGATATCGATTTGTGATCTGTAGTGTATGCATTATAAGTATAGATCAAGCATAGTTTACCAAAAATGAAATTAATTTACCAAGTTATGATAACTCACGAGTAAGGAGGTAGATTGCGTTTTTAGCGGCACAACAATAAATGCCCAATTTTACGCAAAGGATTAAAGAGTACATTCTCGCTTTAAGTAATGGACAGTGTTCTGATTGGCTGAATGTGAGTTTGCTTCCACTCACCAATGAGAAACCGAAATGTGACGGGAGATCCTGACTCCCCCTTCCCCTTCCCATCCACCATTGCAGACTCTCAGACACAGTGTAACATTGGACAGAGGGCTGCGTAACGCTGTATCAGGACTCGTATGTGCAGCCATTGTGGTTTCCAATGAACAAAAAAGAAGATTTTTCAGCGATAGTCTGCGATTTTTAACAATAACAGGTACTTGTCTACGTTTTAGTCCCTCATGCTAACAATAATAGATGCAGAACCTTGTCCGGGGGATGCACGGCTCTGAGTCGCACTGAAGCAATTGATATGCTTTATGCTGGACATGGGGTGTTATAAAATACACTCGTGGCTAAAATGGCAGCTATTTTACTTAACCTTCTCCGCCTGGAAGCTCGTTTACTGCCAGATTCGTTATTCGATTCCTGAAGAATTGCAGCCTGGTGCCTTTGTTGGTAATATCGCGCAGGATTTGGGGTTAGACGCGAAACAGTTGTCTGCTCGTAGTTTTCGCATTGTGTCGGGTCCCAGGAAGCAATATTTGGATGCGAATTTGGAGAATGGGATTTTATTTGTGAAGGAAAAAATCGACAGGGAAGAATTGTGTGGTAAAAGCCCCACTTGCAGGCTATCGTCCGAAGGCGTGATTGAAAAACCTCCAAATGTGTATCCTATTGAAGTGGAGGTATTGGATGTGAATGACAATGCTCCCATCTTTCCCAAGAGACAATTCCGCCTTGAAATCTCGGAACTAGCAGCACCGGGGACTCGCTTTACCCTGGAGCGAGCCCAGGACCCAGACGTTGGGATTAATTCCATTCAAACCTACGAACTGGTGACGAATGAATACTTCAGTCTAAATATCCAGACGAGAAACGTCGGCGGAAAGTCACCGGAACTAGTTTTGGAAAAAACACTGGATAGAGAAATACATTCAAATCACGAGTTAGTGCTGATAGCCAAAGACGGAGGAATTCCAGAAAGATCTGGCACTGTAGCGATATCGATCATAGTGGAAGATGCCAACGATAACTCACCAGTTTACTCACAGTCAGTTTACAGAGTCAGCCTACCCGAAAACACGCCAAGAGGAACTCTAGTGCTAACACTAAACGCCACTGACTTGGATGAAGGATATAACGCCGAGATCGCTTACTCTTTGAGTGGTCACACGTCAGACAGAGTGAGTGAACTTTTTAGTTTGGATTCCAAATCCGGCGAAATAAGAGTTAAGGGTAACTTGGATTTTGAACAAAACGATGTTTTTGAGATTAATGTACAAGCAAAGGATAAGGGACCATATGCAATCCCAGTCTATTGTGAGGTGTTGGTGACCATTACAGATGTCAACGATAACGCACCTGAGGTGACTCTGACCTCTTTATTCAGCCCAGTTGGTGAGGACGCGCTGCCCGGGACTGTGGTCGCTGTGATCAGTGCTGCAGACAGAGATTCAGGAGCCAATGGACAAATACAGTGTCAGCTCGCAAACAAACTTCCCTTCAAACTGGATTCCTCTTTAAAGAACTACTACAGACTGGTTACACGGGAGCCACTGGATCGGGAAAATGCCTCTGTGTACGACATCACCATTGTGTGCAGTGACAGAGGCGCCCCTCCCCTCACAGCCCACAAACACATCCGGGTGGAGGTTTCTGATATTAATGATAACGCGCCGAGGTTTGCGCAGCCTTTATACACAGCCCATGTGATGGAGAATAACCTTGTGGGCTCTTCCATTTACTCAGTGACAGCTTATGATCCGGATTCAAACCAGAACTCTCGACTGTCTTACTCTATTCTGGAGAGTCAGGTTGAGGGCGAGTCAGTGACCAGTTACGTTTCTATCAACTCAGACACTGGTATCATTTACTGTCAAAGAGCTTTTGATTACGAGCAACTCAAACACTTTCAGATCCTGGTTCAAGCTGAAGACAGTGGAGTCCCAGCACTTTCCAGCAACGTGTCTGTGGATGTCACCATCCTGGACCAGAATGACAACGCCCCAGTGATCGTGTCTCCATTGGCCGAGTATGGCTCAACAGTGACAGAGACTGTCTCGGGATTGGCCGAGTCAGGCTACCTGGTGGCCAAGGTAACAGCCACTGACGCTGATTCTGGCCAGAATGCTCGTCTCTCTTATCAGCTTCTCCAGACCACTGACCATGGACTCTTCACCATCTCCCCCGGCACGGGAGACATCTGGACCATCCGTAGCATCGAGGACAAGGATGTTAGGAAGCAAAGATTGGTCGTTGTTGTGAAGGACAATGGAACCCCTTCACTTTCAGCCACAATGACCATCATGTTATCAGTGGTGGGCGGTGATACAGAGATGCTCTCTGACAGGGAAGGCTTATCTGAACCTCATGAATTCGCCTCACCTTTCAGCCTGTATTTGGTCATTTCTCTGGCAATCATCTCGTCCATTTTCCTGGTGGTTTTAATCATCTTAATTATTAAAATCCACAGACACAGAACTGGTTTTGGTGACGCTGATTGCTCGCTATGTACTTGTTGCTGCTTCCGCCCGAGACATTCACTGAATGGGATTCAGAAAGCGAGTAGAAATCTCCAGATTCCTCCCAACTATGTTGAAGTGTTTGGTGGTGATCCCCTTTCCCAGAGTTTCCGTTACGGGTCCTATTCTACTTCAGGTTCTTCCAAAGGAGGCTTCCCATTTACCAACACACACAGTTCATCCACCAAGAGGAATAAAGCCAGGAGTGAACCAATCGGGAACGATGGAAACCCACTGACGTCAAATTCTGCAAATTATAGGAACTGTGTAAATAACGAGGTGAGAGGCATCTAAAAGGAATGACGAAACCTCACGTTTGATTTTGGTTTACAGTTATCGATTGCAAACGCCAACATTAAGAAATTTAGAAATGTAGTATTGTAACTCCATGGGAGGGATTGTGGATATAACAAAGTGAGGTTGCAATCTTACTTTTGTAGGAGAATTTTCTTATTATACGAGAAACCAGTTCTGTCTTGTGGTAACCTCAGAACCCTTTAACAACCTTATGGTTTTCTCCAGCAGTATCTCGCACTTCCAGCTCACACTGTAAATGTTTGCTAAAGTGATTTTTCGTGTGTAATATGATGTATATACTTTTTTACAGAAATAGCCAAAACGAAAAAAAGAGTTGCAGCTTTGTCTTAATCCAATAGTTATTCGGTGATTTGTTGTGGAATAACAGTGCGGTGATATGAATGATTGCGCAACAGTACTGCGCTGTTTTGGGTTGACGTTGAGGAGTACATTCTCGCTTTAAGTAATGGTCAGTGTTCTGATTGGCTGAATGTGAGTTTGCTCCCACTCACCAATGAGAAACCGAAATGTGACGGGAGATCCTGACTCCCCCTTCCCCTTCCCATCCACCATTGCAGACTCTCAGACACAGTGCAACATTGGACGGCGGGCTGCGTAATGGTGTGTCAGGGCTTCGGTTTCTGCATTCATTGTGGCCTTTAATGGGGAGAAGAAGACTTTTCAGCCACAATGTTTGATTCTTAACAATTGCAGGTATTGCTCCGGGTTATAATACTTCTCGTTAGCGATGGTGCATAAAGAACTTTGTCCGGGGGAATGGTAGGGCTCTGTGTCGTGCTGAAACAATTGGAATGTTTCATGCTGGAAATGGGATGGCGTAAGATAAACCTGTGTTTAAAATGGCAGCTGTTTTACTTAACCTTCTTCTCCCGGAACCTCGTTTCGGGTCAGATTCGTTACTCGATTCCTGAAGAATTGCAGCCTGGTGCCTTTGTTGGGAATATCGCGCAGGATTTGGGGTTAGATGTGAAACAGCTGGTGGCTCGCAGTTTTCGCGTTGTGTCCGGTCCCAAGAAACAGTATTTGGAGGTGAATTTAGACAATGGGTTTCTATTTGTCAAAGAAAAAATGGACAGAGAACAATTGTGTGCAAGGAGCCTCAGCTGCATGTTATCGTTTGACGCCGTGATAGAAAAGCCAGCGAATCTGTACCCTGTTGAAGTGGAGATTCTGGATGTGAATGACAATGCTCCAAGCTTTCCAAAGAGCCAGATTCGCCTTGAAATCTCAGAGATTGCGACTCCAGGAGCCCGCTTTGCCCTCGAGTGCGCGGACGATCCGGACGTAGGAATCAATTCCCTGCAAACCTATGACCTGGACGCCAATGATTATTTCAGTTTACATATTCAGTCGCGTAGTGTGGATGGAAAGTTACCGGTACTTGTGTTGGAAAAGCTGCTGGACAGAGAAGAGAAATCGATACACAGGTTAGTTTTGGTTGCTAAAGACGGGGGAGTTCCAGAAAGATCCGGCACTGCTGAAATAATAATCGTAGTGGAGGATGCAAACGACAATGCACCTGTGTTCTCACAGTTAGTTTATACAGTCAGCCTAACAGAAAACGTATCGAAAGGAACACTGGTGATCAAACTGAATGCCACTGACCTCGATGATGAGCTCAATGGAGAAATAATTTATTCTTTTAGCAGCCACACATCCCCCCGAGTGCGGGAACTATTCAGTGTGGACGCAAAATCTGGTGAATTAAGAGTTAAAGGGGATTTGGATTATGAAGAAAACAATGTGTTTGAAATTAATGTGCAAGCAAAAGACAAAGGTCCTAATGCAATCCCAGCCTATTGTGATATCCTGGTGAATATTATTGATGTCAATGATAACAGACCTGAGGTGACCCTCGCGTCTTTATTCAGCCCAGTTGGTGAGGACGCGCTGCCCGGGACTGTGGTCGCTGTGATCAGTGCTGCAGACAGAGATTCAGGAGCCAATGGACAAATACAGTGTCAGCTCGCAAACAAACTTCCCTTCAAACTGGTTTCCTCTTTAAAGAACTACTACAGACTGGTTACACAGGAGCCACTGGATCGGGAAAATGCCTCTGTGTACGACATCACCATTGTGTGCAGTGACAGAGGCGCCCCTCCCCTCACAGCCCACAAACACATCCGGGTGGAGGTTTCTGATATTAATGATAACGCGCCGAGGTTTGCGCAGCCTTTATACACAGCCCATGTGATGGAGAATAACCTTGTGGGCTCTTCCATTTACTCAGTGACAGCTTATGATCCGGATTCAAAGCAGAACTCTCGACTGTCTTACTCTATTCTGGAGAGTCAGGTTGAGGGCGAGTCAGTGACCAGTTACGTTTCTATCAACTCAGACACTGGTATCATTTACTGTCAAAGATCTTTTGATTACGAGCAACTCAAACACTTTCAGATCCTGGTTCAAGCTGAAGACAGTGGAGTCCCAGCACTTTCCAGCAACGTGTCTGTGGATGTCACCATCCTGGACCAGAATGACAACGCCCCAGTGATCGTGTCTCCATTGGCCGAGTATGGCTCAACAGTGACAGAGACTGTCTCGGGATTGGCCGAGTCAGGCTACCTGGTGGCCAAGGTAACAGCCACTGACGCTGATTCTGGCCAGAATGCTCGTCTCTCTTATCAGCTTCTCCAGGCCACTGACCATGGACTCTTCACCATCTCCCCCGGCACGGGAGACATCTGGACCATCCGTAGCATCGAGGACAAGGATGTTAGGAAGCAAAGATTGGTCGTTGTTGTGAAGGACAATGGAACCCCCTCACTTTCAGCCACAATGACCATCATGTTATCAGTGGTGGGCGGTGATACAGAGATGCTCTCTGACAGGGAAGGCTTATCTGAACCCCGTGAATTCGCCTCACCTTTCAGCCTGTATTTGGTCATTTCTCTGGCAATCATCTCCTCCATTTTCCTGGTGGTATTAATCATCTTAATTATTAAGATCCACCGACACAGAACTGGATTTGGTGACGCTGATTGCTCGCTATGTACTTGTTGCTGCTTTCAACCGAGACATTCGCTGAACGGGATTCAGAAAGCGAGTAGAAATCTTCAGATTCCTCCCAACTATGTTGAAGTGTTTGGTGGTGATCCCCTTTCCCAGAGTTTCCGTTACGGTTCCTATTCAACTTCCGGATCTTCAAAAGGTGGTTTTCCATTTTCCAACACGCACAGCTCATCCACCCACAGGAATAAAGCCAGGAGTGAGCCAATTGGGAACGATGGAAATCCTCTAACATCAAATTCCGCAAATTATAGGAACTGTGTAAATAACGAGGTGAGCGGCTCCTGAAAGGAATGACGAAACGTCACATTTTTGATTTGCAGTTATCGATTGGAAACGCCAATTTAAGGAAATCTAGAAATGTAGTATTGTAACTCCATGGGAGTGAATGTGGATATATATCAAAAGTGAGGTTGCAATTTTATTTTTGTCGTTTTTTTTTATAGTAAGAGAAAACTGGTCTGTCGTCTGGTATCCTCATATCCTTTTAACACCTTAATAGTCGTCTCTTGCTGTATCTTACCCTTCCAGCTCACATTGTAAACAATTGCTGAGGTGATTTATTGTGTTATAATATGTATGTCTTTTCACAGAAATAGCAAAAAGGAAAGAACAGGTGCAGCTTTGTCGTAATCCAATAGTTATTCGGCGATTTGGTGTAGAATAATAGTGCGGTGATATGAACGATTGCGCAACAATACTGCGCTGTTTTGGTTTGACGTTGAGGAGTACATTCTCGCTTTAAGTAATGGTCAGTGTTCTGATTGGCGGAATGTGAGTTTGCTCCCACTCACCAATGAGAAACCGAAATGTGACGGGAGATCCTGACTCCCCCTTCCCCTTCCCTTCCACCATTGCAGACTCTCAGACACAGTGCAACAGTGAACGGCGGGCTGCGTAATGGTGTGTCAGGGCTTCGGTTTGCACAACTGTTGGTGTTTTTCATGATTTAAAAGAATTTTCAGTAAAAATCCACGATTCCAGAGAGGCCCAGGTATTTGTCAAAGTTTTTGTTTGAAAAAATAATGATATGTAGAGAAGCATTCAGTGGAATATTTGAGCGGCTATGACTCGGGCTGAAGGAATCGGAATGCTTTACACTGGAGATGGCTTATAGTGGAATCATTTGGCTGATAAAATGGCGAGTATTATGCTTATTATCCGTCTCCTGGCATTTAGTTTGTGGACAGATTCGTTATTCGATTCCCGAGGAGTTGCAACCTGGTGCCTTTGTTGGGAATATCGCACAGGATTTGGCGTTAGATGTGAATGAGCTGTCTGCTCGCAGATTCCGTCTCGTTGATGGTCCCAAGAAGCAATATTTGGATATTAACTTAGACACTGGTGTTTTATTTGTAAAGGAAAAAATTGACAGGGAAGAGATTTGTGGACCGAGCCTGGCGTGTGCGCTGTCTTTGGAGTGTGTGGTTGAAAACCCACCGAATGTGTATCATGTTGAAGTGGAGATTCTGGATGTGAATGACAATGCTCCCAGATTCCCCAAGAAACAATTTCGCCTCGAAATCCCGGAGCTGGCTGCGACAGGAGCTCGCTTCCCTCTGGAGCGGGCTCAGGACAAAGACGTGGGAAGCAACGCCCTCCAAACCTACCAAATTAGTGTGAATGAATATTTCAGCCTAAATGTTCTGGCGGGTGGTGAGGATGGGAAGCTACCCGTGTTAGTGCTGGAAAAGCCCCTGGATAGAGAAAAAATAGCAGCTCACAGGTTAGTGTTGATCGCCAGAGACGGTGGGGTCCCAGAGAGATCTGGCACCGCTCAAATAATTATCGTGGTGCAGGATGCTAACGATCATGAACCTATTTTTTCTCAGCCAGTTTATCATGTGAATCTGTTGGAAAATACACCCAAAGGAAGTGTGGTGATTAAACTAAATGCTACTGATCAGGATGATGGTCCCAATGGAGAGATAGTTTACTCTTTGAGTGATCACACATCAGCAAGGGTGCGTGAAATCTTTGCTGTGGATTCCAAAACTGGTGAAATCAGGGTTAAAGGAAAACTGGACTACGAAGAAAACAAAGCATTCGAGGTAAATATAAAAGCCATGGACAAGGGACCAAACGCAATGGCAGTGTATTGTGAGGTTTCTGTGAAAATCGTTGATGTGAACGATAACGCACCTGAGGTGACTCTGACCTCTTTATTCAGCCCAGTTGGTGAGGACGCGCTGCCCGGGACTGTGGTCGCTGTGATCAGTGCTGCAGACAGAGATTCAGGAGCCAATGGACAAATACAGTGTCAGCTCGCAAACAAACTTCCCTTCAAACTGGATTCCTCTTTAAAGAACTACTACAGACTGGTTACACGGGAGCCACTGGATCGGGAAAATGCCTCTGTGTACGACATCACCATTGTGTGCAGTGACAGAGGCGCCCCTCCCCTCACAGCCCACAAACACATCCGGGTGGAGGTTTCTGATATTAATGATAACGCGCCGAGGTTTGCGCAGCCTTTATACACAGCCCATGTGATGGAGAATAACCTTGTGGGCTCTTCCATTTACTCAGTGACAGCTTATGATCCGGATTCAAACCAGAACTCTCGACTGTCTTACTCTATTCTGGAGAGTCAGGTTGAGGGCGAGTCAGTGACCAGTTACGTTTCTATCAACTCAGACACTGGTATCATTTACTCTCAAAGAGCTTTTGATTACGAGCAACTCAAACACTTTCAGATCCTGGTTCAAGCTGAAGACAGTGGAGTCCCAGCACTTTCCAGCAACGTGTCTGTGGATGTCACCATCCTGGACCAGAATGACAACGCCCCAGTGATCGTGTCTCCATTGGCCGAGTATGGCTCAACAGTGACAGAGACTGTCTCGGGATTGGCCGAGTCAGGCTACCTGGTGGCCAAGGTAACAGCCACTGACGCTGATTCTGGCCAGAATGCTCGTCTCTCTTATCAGCTTCTCCAGGCCACTGACCATGGACTCTTCACCATCTCCCCCGGCACGGGAGACATCTGGACCATCCGTAGCATCGAGGACAAGGATGTTAGGAAGCAAAGATTGGTCGTTGTTGTGAAGGACAATGGAACCCCCTCACTTTCAGCCACAATGACCATCATGTTATCAGTGGTGGGCGGTGATACAGAGATGCTCTCTGACAGGGAAGGCTTATCTGAACCCCGTGAATTCGCCTCACCTTTCAGCCTGTATTTGGTCATTTCTCTGGCAATCATCTCCTCCATTTTCCTGGTGGTTTTAATCATCTTAATTATTAAGATCCACCGACACAGAACTGGATTTGGTGACGCTGATTGCTCGCTATGTACTTGTTGCTGCTTTCAACCGAGACATTCGCTGAACGGGATTCAGAAAGCGAGTAGAAATCTTCAGATTCCTCCCAACTATGTTGAAGTGTTTGGTGGTGATCCCCTTTCCCAGAGTTTCCGTTACGGTTCCTATTCAACTTCCGGATCTTCAAAAGGTGGTTTTCCATTTTCCAACACACACAGTTCATCCACCCACAGGAATAAAGCCAGGAGTGAACCAATTGGGAATGATGGAGCTCCACTGACATCAAATTCTGCAAATTATAGGAACTGTGTAAATAACGAGGTGAGCGGCTTCTAAAAGGAATGGCGAAACCTCACCTTTTTGATTTGCAGTTATCGATTGGAAACGCTAATTTAAGGAAATCTAGAAATGTAGTATTGTAACTCCATGGGAGTGAATGTGGATATAACAAAAGTGAGGTTGCAATTTTATTTTTTGGCTCTTTTTTATATTAGGAGAAAACTAATCTGTCGTGTGTTAACCTCTTATCCTTTTAACACCTTAATAGTCGTCTCTAACTGTATCTTGCTCTTCCAGCTCACATTGTAAATGTTTGCTGAGGTGATTTATTGTGTTATAATATGTATGTCTTTTCACAGGAATAGCAAAAACGAAAGAACAGGTGCAGCTTTGTCGTAATCCAGTAGTTATTCGGCGATTTGGTGTAGAATAATAGTGCGGTTAGATGAATGATTGCGCAACAGTACTGCGCTGTTTTGGGTTGACGTTGAGGAGTACATTCTCGCTTTAAGTAATGGTCAGTGTTCTGATTGGCGGAATGTGAGTTTGCTCCCACTCACCAATGAGAAACCGAAATGTGACGGGAGATCCTGACTCCCCCTTCCCCTTCCCTTCCACCATTGCAGACTCTCAGACACAGTGCAACAGTGAACGGCGGGCTGCGTAATGGTGTTTTGTGGACTCGCTTTGTGGATTTATTGTGGTTTAACATGAAATAGTGAGATTTTCCAACAATATTCTGCATCGCTTAAGAAACTCAGGTATATATCTATGTTGTATTTATGATCTTTAAAGACAATACGAAAGTATCCCTTAATCAATGGACATATTTGAGCGCCGCTGTGTTGTGTAGAAAAAGTCGGAATGCTTTCCATTGGAAATGGCTTATAGTGGAATAAACTGGTTATTAAATTGGCAAATATTATGCTTCATATTTGCCTCTTGCCGTGTAGTTTGTGGTCAGATCCGTTATTCCATTCCTGAAGAATTGCAACCTGGTGCCTTTGTTGGGAATATCGCACAGGATCTGGGGTTAGATGTGAAGGAGCTTTCTGCTCGTAGATTCCGTCTCGTTTTTGGTCGTAGGAAGCAGTATGTGGACGTAAATACCGACAAAGGCATTTTATTTGTGAAAGAAAAAATTGACAGGGAAGAGCTTTGCGGACCGAGCCTGGCGTGTGCACTGTCTTTGGAGGGTGTGGTTGAAAACCCACCGAATGTGTATCATGTGGAAGTGGAGATTCTGGATGTGAATGACAATGCTCCCGGGTTCCCGAAGAGCCAATTCCGCTTTGAAATCTCGGAGGCTGCTACACCAGGAGCGCGATTCGCATTGCAGTGTGCCAACGACCCAGATGTAGGAATAAATTCCCTACAAAGCTATCAGCTACTTGCAAATGAATATTTCAGCCTAAGTATCCAGATTCGCAGTGGGGATGAAAAGTTACCTGTGTTGGTGTTGGAAAAGACACTGGATAGAGAAAAGCAATCGAGTCACAAGTTGGTGCTAATTGCCAGGGATGGAGGTGTCCCTCTGAGGACTGGCACAGCTCAAATAATAATCATAGTTCAAGATGCAAACGACAATGCACCAGTTTTCTCCCAATTAGTTTACAGAGTGAAACTGTTGGAAAATGTGCCGAAAGGTACGTTTGTTATCAGACTAAACGCTACTGACCTAGATGACGGTTCGAATGCAGAAATAATTTACTCATTAAGTGACCATACGTCGGCGAGAGTACACGAGCTATTTGGTGTGAATCCCAAAACTGGTGAAATCAGAGTTAAAGGCAACTTGGACTATGAAGAATGCGGCGTGTTTGAAGTTAATGTACAAGCAGTGGACAGAGGTCTCAATGCAATCCCAGCTTACTGTGACGTCTTTGTGACCATTATTGATGTCAATGATAACGCACCTGAGGTGACTCTGACCTCTTTATTCAGCCCAGTTGGTGAGGACGCGCTGCCCGGGACTGTGGTCGCTGTGATCAGTGCTGCAGACAGAGATTCAGGAGCCAATGGACAAATACAGTGTCAGCTCGCAAACAAACTTCCCTTCAAACTGGATTCCTCTTTAAAGAACTACTACAGACTGGTTACACGGGAGCCACTGGATCGGGAAAATGCCTCTGTGTACGACATCACCATTGTGTGCAGTGACAGAGGCGCCCCTCCCCTCACAGCCCACAAACACATCCGGGTGGAGGTTTCTGATATTAATGATAACGCGCCGAGGTTTGCGCAGCCTTTATACACAGCCCATGTGATGGAGAATAACCTTGTGGGCTCTTCCATTTACTCAGTGACAGCTTATGATCCGGATTCAAACCAGAACTCTCGACTGTCTTACTCTATTCTGGAGAGTCAGGTTGAGGGCGAGTCAGTGACCAGTTACGTTTCTATCAACTCAGACACTGGTATCATTTACTGTCAAAGAGCTTTTGATTACGAGCAACTCAAACACTTTCAGATCCTGGTTCAAGCTGAAGACAGTGGAGTCCCAGCACTTTCCAGCAACGTGTCTGTGGATGTCACCATCCTGGACCAGAATGACAACGCCCCAGTGATCGTGTCTCCATTGGCCGAGTATGGCTCAACAGTGACAGAGACTGTCTCGGGATTGGCCGAGTCAGGCTACCTGGTGGCCAAGGTAACAGCCACTGACGCTGATTCTGGCCAGAATGCTCGTCTCTCTTATCAGCTTCTCCAGGCCACTGACCATGGACTCTTCACCATCTCCCCCGGCACGGGAGACATCTGGACCATCCGTAGCATCGAGGACAAGGATGTAAGGAAGCAAAGATTGGTCGTTGTTGTGAAGGACAATGGATCCCCTTCACTTTCAGCCACAATGACCATCATGTTATCAGTGGTGGGCGGTGATACAGAGATGCTCTCTGACAGGGAAGGCTTATCTGAACCTCATGAATTCGCCTCACCTTCCAGCCTGTATTTGGTCATTTCTCTGGCAATCATCTCGTCCATTTTCCTGGTGGTTTTAATCATCTTAATTATTAAAATCCACAGACACAGAACTGGATTTGGTGACGCTGATTGCTCGCTATGTACTTGTTGCTGCTTCCGCCCGAGACATTCACTGAATGGGATTCAGAAAGCGAGTAGAAATCTCCAGATTCCTCCCAACTATGTTGAAGTGTTTGGTGGTGATCCCCTTTCCCAGAGTTTCCGTTATGGGTCCTATTCAACTTCAGGTTCTTCCAAAGGAGGCTTTCCATTTTCCAACACACACAGTTCATCCACCCACAGGAATAAAGCCAGGAGTGAACCAATTGGGAATGATGGAGATCCACTGACATCAAATTCTGCAAATTATAGGAACTCTATAAATAACGAGGTGAGAGGTTTCTGAAGGTAATAATGAAACCTCATGCTTTGATATCCATCTTATACATGCTTCGGAATGTTCCAATAGATTCGGATATGGAAATTCATGGATATCAAAGTAGTTAGATTTCCATGTTAATTGTTAGCCCGTTTCATCTTCTCATTTCTGATCTGTGATATCTTGCAACTCTTCCGATTTTATTACAGTTAACTCTATTTCTTCCAGGACCTCAAGGACAACCGAAGCAATCTCATTGATAATTTTTTTGATTTGTGTGGGAGATGCATGTTAGGATTGCGCTACATATTTCCTTTCTTTTAATTTGTGCGATATTAACCAAATATAGCACAGGAGATAAAATCATGTGGTATTATCATAATGGAAATTCTAAGGTTCTTTTACATGAATAGCAACCATGGATGAGTCAGAGTTTTTGCTTCAATGATCACAGGGACTCGTTTCCAAAGTGTATAAGTGTGCGTGTTGTACAAGATTCAGTCTGCGGTCATTCGTAGCGGTAGAACCATTCTTTGCAGAATAGGTTAGCAGCACAAATAAAATAACTCCTGCAATAATTAAAGGTGAGGCGTTCTCCAAATTTATCGCTCAGCACAGTAAGTGTACCTTTTACGCCTGTCGTGGAGACATTCTTGCTTTAAGAAATGTCCCTGTGCGGCGATTGGTTGAACACGAGTGCCCCAATGAGAAGCTGGGATGTGGGCAGAGATCCTGACCGCCCCCTTCCCCTTCCCATCCACCATCACCATCAGTCGATCAGATACCAAGTGAGCACTGGATAGTGAGCTGCGTAAGCCAACGCCAGGATTATTTGTGCACCGTTTTGTGATATTTAGAGGGGTCGAGAATGCGTACGAGAAGGCACCACAGCGAACTGTAAACACATACAGGTATTTGTGTGTTACTCAGCCTTTCTGGTGGTCAGAATGACTCGTAGCTAAATGTATTCGAGGATTTATTCCACAGCGCCGTGTTGTTCTGAAGCTGTTGAAATGCTTTGTGCTGGATATGGGATATTATCAGACATGTTGGTGGATAAAATGGCAACTCTTATACTGTATATTGTACTCCTGGAATCTGGTTTCCGGAGAAATTCGTTACTCGGTTCCTGAAGAGCTACAACTGGGCGCCTTTGTTGGAAATATCGCGGACGATTTGGGGTTAGACGCGAAAGAGCTGTCGGTTCGCAGTTTTCGCATCGTGTCCGGTGCCAGGAAACAGTATCTGGACGTAAATGTGGACAATGGGATTATGTTTGTGAAGGAAAAAATTGACAGAGAAGAGCTTTGCGGATCGAGAATCTCGTGCACGTTGTCTTTAGAGGCCGTGATTCAAAACCCAGCGAACGTGTATCACATTGATGTGGAGGTTTTGGATGTGAATGACAATGCTCCCAGTTTCCCAAAGAGCCAATTCCGCCTGGAAATCTCGGAGATGGCGGTGCCTGGAGCTCGCTTCCCTCTGGAGAGCGCGCACGACCCCGATGCAGGAACGAACGCCCTGCAAACCTACGAACTGGCCGCAAGCGAATATTTCAGCTTGAATGTGGAAACGCGCAGTGGGGATGGGAAGTTACCAGTGTTGGTGTTGGAAAGGCCGCTGGACAGAGAAAAGCAACCGACTCATAGGTTAGTGTTGACTGCCAAAGACGGAGGGATACCTCAGAGATCCAGCACAGCGCAGATAATGATCATTGTACAAGACGCAAACGACAATGTGCCAGTGTTCCCCCAGTCCGAGTACAAGGTCAGCCTCTTGGAAAATATACCTCAAGGAACGCTAGTGATGAAACTAAACGCTTCAGACGCGGATGAAGGATATAATGGGGAGATAGTGTACTCGTTTGCTGGTCACACGTCTGCAAGAATGCGTCAGTTGTTCGCTGTGAATTCGAAAACCGGTGAAATAAGAGTTAAAGGCAAGTTGGATCGCGAAGAAAACATTGCATTTGAGATCAACGTCCAAGCAACCGATAAGGGTCCCAACGCTATCCCCACCTACTGTCATGTGTTAGTAGATGTTATCGATGTAAATGATAACGCACCCGAGATAACCCTAACCTCTCTGTTCAGCCCAGTCAGTGAAGCCTCTCGCCCCGGCACATTAGTAGCTCTGATAGGCGCAACCGACAGAGACTCGGGAGCAAACGGAAAGGTGGATTGTCAAATCCTAAACCACATTCCTTTCAAACTAGATTCATCCTCCAAGAACTATTACAGATTGGTCACAAGCCAACTATTGGATCGCGAGAACACCTCGACGTACGACATGACTATCGCTTGCAGCGACAGAGGCTCCAGTCCTCTCACAGCCAAGAAACACATCCGGCTAGAGGTCTCTGATATCAATGACAACGCGCCACGGTTTGCCCAGCCTTTATACACAGCTCATGTGATGGAGAACAACGTGATTGGGACCTCTATTTACTCCGTCACAGCTTTGGACCCAGACGCAAACGAAAACTCTCGACTGACCTACTCTCTTCTGGAGAGTCAAGTTCAGAACACGTCAGTGTTCAACTATGTCTCCGTTAACGCACAGAATGGTGACGTTTTATCTCAGAGATCCTTTGATTACGAACAACTCAAAAGTTTTCAAATCCAAGTTCAGGCACAGGACAAGGGAGAGCCGGCGCTGTCAGGCAACGTGTCTGTGAACATCATTATCCTGGACCAGAACGACAACTCTCCAGTGATCGTGTCTCCATCGCCCGAGTTTGGCTCAACAGTGACAGAGACTGTCTCGAGGTTGGCAGAGCCAGGCTACCTGGTGTCCAAGGTCTCAGCCATTGACGCTGACACTGGGCAGAATGGGCGTCTGTCTTACCAGATTGTCCAGGCGACTGACCCTGGGCTTTTCACTATTTCGCCCGACACAGGAGAAATCTGGACTATCCGCAGTGTTGTGGATAAAGATGCCAATAAGCAAAGGCTGGTGGTTGTGGCGAAGGACAATGGATCCCCTTCACTATCAGCCACAGTGACCATCATGTTATCAGTGGTGGGCAGCGACGCGGAAATGCTCTCTGAAGTCAATGTTTTGATGGAAGATCCCTGGGTCACTTCTGGTGTCAGTATTTACCTGGTGATAGCCTTGGGAACAACCTCCAGCATTTTCCTCGTGGTTTTAATCGTCCTCGCTGTTAAGTCCACAAGAACAGGAACGGTCTCGGAAACAACAGCTGTTTGCTGGATACGTGCTGTTGTTTGGAATCAGGGAATTCGCTGAATGGGATTCAAAGGGCCAGTAGGAACATTCAGATTCCTCCCAACTATGTTGAAGTGTTTGGTGGTGATCCGCTTTCCCAGAGTTTCCGATACGGATCCTATTCAACCTCCGGTTCTTCCAAAGGAGGCTTCCCATTTTCCAACACGCACAGTTCATCCACCCACAGGAATAAAGGCAGGAGCGAACCAATTGGGAACGATGGAAATCCACTGACATCAAATTCTACAAATTATAGGAACTCTGTAACTAACGAGGTGAGAGGTTTCTAAAGGTAATGGCGAAACCTCATGGGTTTGATATCCATCCAACGTATAATTTGGAATGTTCCAATAGATGCGGATATGGGATTCATGGATATCAAAGGTGTTAGATTTTAATTTGTTATATATTTTCCATCTTGTCATTCCTGATCTGTGATATCTTCCAAGTGTTCAGATTTTCTTCCAGTTAAATACATTTCTTGCAGGACTTAAAGAGCAACCAAAACAACCTAATAGATTTTTGTTTTGTTTTTTGTGGATGATATATTTTCGGGCTGTGCTACATATATATATTTTTTTCCAATTGTGCGATATTATCCAAGCATCGCACAGGAAACATATTCATGTGGTATTATGGTAATGAAATTCATAACATTTTTTTAACATGAACAGAAAATATGGATGAGTAAGAGGTTTGCTTTAATAATGGCAGGGAGCAAGACGTAAGCGTGCTTTTTGTACCAGATTCTAACCGTTATCATATGTAGTGTAGAACCAATGCTTGGAATATCGGCTTGCAGCGCTAAAGGCACATCTGAAATAATTAAAGGTGAGGCGTGCTCGTTATTTACCTTTCACCGCAATAAGCGCACATTTTTACGCTTGTCGTGGAGACATTCTTGCTTTAAGAAATGTCCCTGTGCGGCGATTGGTTGAACACGAGTGCCCCAATGAGAAGCTGGGATGTGGGCAGAGATCCTGACCGCCCCCTTCCCCTTCCCATCCACCATCACCATCAGTCGATCAGATACCAAGTGAGCACTGGATAGTGAGCTGCGTAAGCCAACGCCAGGATTATTTGTGCACCGTTTTGTGATATTTAGAGGGGTCAGAATGCGTACGAGAAGGCACCACAGCGAACTGTAAACACATACAGGTATTTGTGTGTTACTCAGCCTTTCTGGTGGTCAGAATGACTCGTAGCTAAATGTATTCGAGGATTTATTCCACGGCGCCGTGTTGTTCTGAAGCTGTTGAAATGCTTTGTGCTGGATATGGGATATTATCAGACATGTTGGTGGATAAAATGGCAACTCTTATACTGTATATTGTACTCCTGGAATCTGGTTTCCGGAGAAATTCGTTACTCGGTTCCTGAAGAGCTACAACTGGGCGCCTTTGTTGGAAATATCGCGGAAGATTTGGGGTTAGACGCGAAAGAGCTGTCGGTTCGCAGTTTTCGCATCGTGTCCGGTGCCAGGAAACAGTATCTGGACGTAAATGTGGACAATGGGATTATGTTTGTGAAGGAAAAAATTGACAGAGAAGAGCTTTGCGGATCGAGAATCTCGTGCACGTTGTCTTTCGAAGTCGTGCTTGAAAATCCGCCGAATGCGTACCACGTTGAAGTGGAAATACAGGATGTGAATGATAATTCTCCCCGTTTCACAAAGAGCCAAATCCGCCTTGAAATCTCAGAGGGTGCTGTGCCGGGCGCTCGCTTCGCCCTTGAGTATGCCCATGATCCGGACGTGGGTACCAATTCCCTTGAAACCTATCAGCTTGTGGCAAATGATTATTTTTCCCTTCATGTTGACACACTCAGTGGGGATGGGAAGTTACCAGTGCTGGTCCTGGAAAAGCCCCTGGATAGAGAGAAACAATCAACGCACAGTTTAGTGCTGACAGCCACAGACGGAGGGGTCCCTGTGAGGACTGGCACAGCTCAGATCACTATCGTAGTGCAAGATGCAAACGACAACGCGCCTGCTTTTCCCCAGTCGGTATACAGAGTGAGTCTGTTGGAAAACGCACCGAAAGGAACGTTGGTGCTCAAACTAAACGCCACCGACTTGGATGATGGCCCTAACGGAGAGATAGTTTACTCTTTCAGCAGTCACACTTCTGCACGCGTGCGTGAATTGTTTGCGGTGAACTCCAAAACCGGTGAAATCAAAGTTAAAGGACGATTGGACTATGAAGAAAACATTGCATTTGAGATCAACGTCCAAGCAACCGATAAGGGTCACAACGCTATCCCCACCTACTGTCATGTGTTAGTAGATGTTATCGATGTAAATGATAACGCACCCGAGATAACCCTAACCTCTCTGTTCAGCCCAGTCAGTGAAGCCTCTCGCCCCGGCACATTAGTAGCTCTGATAGGCGCAACCGACAGAGACTCGGGAGCAAACGGAAAGGTGGATTGTCAAATCCTAAACCACATTCCTTTCAAACTAGATTCATCCTCCAAGAACTATTACAGATTGGTCACAAGCCAACTATTGGATCGCGAGAACACCTCGACGTACGACATGACTATCGCTTGCAGCGACAGAGGCTCCAGTCCTCTCACAGCCAAGAAACACATCCGGCTAGAGGTCTCTGATATCAATGACAACGCGCCACGGTTTGCCCAGTCTCTATACACAGCTCATGTGATGGAGAACAACGTGATTGGGACCTCTATTTATTCAGTCACAGCTTTGGACCCAGACGCAAACGAAAACTCTCGACTGACCTACTCTTTTCTGGAGAGTCAAGTTCAGAACACGTCAGTGTTCAACTATGTCTCCGTCAACGCACAGAATGGTGACGTTTTATCTCAGAGATCCTTTGATTACGAACAACTCAAAAGTTTTCAAATCCAAGTTCAGGCACAGGACAAGGGAGAGCCGGCGCTGTCAGGCAACGTGTCTGTGAACATCATTATCCTGGACCAGAACGACAACTCTCCAGTGATCGTGTCTCCATTGCCCGAGTTTGGCTCAACAGTGACAGAGACTGTCTCGAGGTTGGCAGAGCCAGGCTACCTGGTGGCCAAGGTCTCAGCCATTGACGCTGACACTGGGCAGAATGGGCGTCTGTCTTACCAGATTGTCCAGGCGACTGACCCTGGGCTTTTCACCATTTCGCCCGATACAGGAGAAATCTGGACCATCCGCAGTGTTGTGGATAAAGATGCCAATAAGCAAAGGCTGGTGGTTGTGGCGAAGGACAATGGATCCCCTTCACTATCAGCCACAGTGACCATCATGTTATCAGTGGTGGGCGGCGACGCGGAAATGCTCTCTGAAGTCAATGTTTCGATGGAAGATCCCTGGGTCACTTCTGGTGTCAGTATTTACCTGGTGATAGCCTTGGGAACAACCTCCAGCATTTTCCTCGTGGTTTTAATCGTCCTCGCTGTTAAGGTCCACAAGAACAGGAACGGTCTCGGAAACAACAGCTGTTTGCTGGATACGTGCTGTTGTTTGGAATCAGGGAATTCGCTGAATGGGATTCAAAGGGCCAGTAGGAACATTCAGATTCCTCCCAACTATGTTGAAGTGTTTGGTGGAGATCCGCTTTCCCAGAGTTTCCGATACGGATCCTATTCAACCTCCGGCTCTTCCAAAGGAGGCTTCCCATTTTCCAACACGCACAGTTCATCCATCCACAGGAATAAAGGCAGGAGCGAACCAATCGGGAACGATGGAAATCCACTGACATCAAATTCTGCAAATTATAGGAACTCTGTAACTAACGAGGTGAGAGGTTTCTAAAGGTAATGATGAAACCTCATGGGTTTGATACCCATTTTTTTGGAGTAGTTTAGAATGTTCCAATAGATGCGATTATGGGCTATAGATATCAAAGGTGTTAGATTTTCCTTTTTCAGTTGTTATATCTGTTCCATCTTCTCAGTCCTGATCTATGATATCTTCGAAGTATTCAGAATTTCTTACAGTTAAATACATTTCTTGCAGGACTTAAAGAGCCACCAAAACAATCTCATTGATAACTTTGTGATTTTTTAAAATATATTTTGGGGTTGTGCTACATATTTCCGTTCACTGAATGGAATTCAAAGAGCCAGTAGAAATATTCCAATACCTCCTAACTATCCTGTAAGTAGTTGGGGGTGATCCACTGACTCAAAGTTTTCGCTATGGGACATGCTCAACGTCTGGTTCAACCAAGAGAGATTTCATGTTTTCCAGCGTGGCCAGGTTATCTGCACGCAGGAATAACATCAGTAATCCCACTGATGGGAAAGAAGAAGGCTCAGTGAACTGAGCGAATGAAGTGAGACACCTCGTAGGTTCGATTTCATGGAATATTCTAGCATTTGATGAAGACATTGTGGCCATCCAACCTGTGTTGATGGTAATTCCTCCAATGAAGCTAACTGTTCCCATCCAGATCTTTCTCGTATCCTTGTTTGTTGTTGCTCTAATGTGGTGTTGAGTTATAGATCAGCAATGATCTAGAGAGAGTACAGAATGGTGGAACAGGCTCGAGAGGTTGAATGGTCTACTCCTGTCGCTATGTTCCTAAGTTTATATGCTTGTGCAGATACCAGAAGCCACTGAAGAACTCAAGTGTATGCGTGTGGAAAAGTGAATGAAAGAGCCAGACTTATCAGTTTTATTTAGGATTGTCATTATTGCTGTATTAATCAGAAGTTAGTGGCAGTATGATTCATGGTGGGTGGACTGAAGTTGTCAAGAACAACTTTAATTAGAATAGGATACATTTAATGAAGGTACGAATAGGAGAATTGGGGAGAAGGTTTCTGCATCCCAGTTTCACACAATGTATGTTCAGTACCATTCGTTTCGCAGGTAAACACGAAAATTGCCTCTTATGTGTGTTAGTAGGTGAAATCGCTATCACAGTGGTTCATTGGCATTAAAGAGGTTATCCAAGTAATTTTAATTGCGCAACAGTAAATGTAGTATTTGCGCAGTTGTTTTTTTTAAAAAAATGAAGACATTACAGCTTTAAGAAATGTCCAGCTTCCTGATTGGCTGGGAGCGAGTGTGGCTCCGTTGACCAATGGGAAGCTGCAATGTGACGGGAGATCCTGTCTGCC